CCTATGAAGGCGGCAGGACTAGATGGTGTAGTATGATGAAGGCGTACGCAGGCATCCTTGCTTGCCCAGTTACAGCTGTGCAAAACAGCAGTTTCGCGGAGCAGAGTCGCCCATGATCCTGGAAGATAGCGCCCGTCCCCAAGCTAAAACCTGTTATCGACATCAACAAATATCTTCGTTTGATTTCCCCACCTCCGTAATATCTAAACTTGCACAGGACTTTGTCGTCGCTCTCCATTTCGGCTCTGCGGTTCTGGAGGTGATTGATCCAAATCAGTATGATTGGATCTCAGCGTCCTCTACCCTACATGCCCTTCCGAACATGCTACATGTACCTGGTTGCAAGCCACCGACGGGTCTGGGGCTGCTGTGAGAGTCGTCCCGTTTGATTACAGGAAGGCCTTCGATCTCAGCGACCACACCCTACTTGTGCGCGAAGTTTTCGGCTTATCTTTTCCTCGCGCTGTTGCCCTCTGGGTGGCCGACTTCTTAACGCATAGACAACAACGCGTCAAGTTGTCTAGAGACTGTTTTTATGAATGGGGCCCTGTGCGCGCTGGTATACCTCAAGGAACCAAACTAAGCCCATCGTTATTCCTCAGGGGTTTTCAGTGTGGAGACATAGAAGCACATTTTGTTCGTTGATGATACTTACTAGATAGATTAAGCATCGCGTTTACGGCAAACGTAAGCAAGTTTCCCCTTCACCAGTCGTTTTCTGTTCATTAAAAGTACACGAAAATCGGTAGATTCAGGCCAATTTTATCTATAAGAATTGTTTTAAGCTGCTTTTATCTGCTCATTTCTCAACTTAAAAATTTCTCAACTTGAATCTCAAGTTTGCCGTTTGCTGGAAACGCGATGCTTAATCTCTCTACTATGGATGCACAGGGTGACATTCAAAGCGCAGTTAGCGCCGTCGAGGACTGGTCACGTGAGCAATGCATGCAACTAAACAATGCAAGGAGATGATCATCGACTTTAAAAATAACAAACACGTCTTCAGCCCTGTTGTGGTCGACGAGAAGGAACTAGCTGTTATAATAGCGCCAAACTTTTAGGTATAACACTGTCGCGTCGACTATTGTAACAGCCTGCTCTCTGGCCTGCCAGCCTACCAGCTTAATTAGCTACAGACGGTCCGAAATGCTGCCGCTAGGTTAATTTTCCAGGAATCTGAAAACTGACACGTAAGGCCGTTGCTGTATAGTGCCGGTTAAATTCAAAATTGACTTAAAGATACTACTGTTAACGTAAAAGGCTATCACTGGCTTAGCACCTTTTTATCTCCAGGAACTTATTAATCTGAAAGAAGCATGTAAATACAATTTACTCTCCAATTGAGATGGACTGCTACTAAACCCTGTGAAATCAAGACTTTAACAACGTTAGGAGATCGATCTTTTGCTGCTGCTGCTCCTCAACTGTGGAATTCATTGCCCTATGCGATTAGGAGTAGCTCCTCAGTAGCATTTTTTCAAAAGATACTCCAGACATTTTTATTTCAGAAAGCTTTTTTGTAATTTTATGTGCTTTTTAATCTCGTTTTTAGTAGGTTTTATGCAGTTTTTTACCATTTAAGTAGTCTAGGTAATTTTTATAATTTTAGTGTTGACATAATTGTTTTAACTCTTTTTGGTAGGTTTATGCACTTTGTATACTTTATGCAGTCCTAGTAATTTTTTAAAAATATATTTTTATTTTTAAGCGTTGATGAAAATAGCAATATTGATATCGGCGCTATATAAGTTTTATTATTATTATTATTATTATTATTATTGTTATTATTATTGTTATTATTATTATTATTATTATTATTGTTATTATTATTATTATTATTATTATTATTAAAAAAATCTTTGTTACAAAACCTCAATAAAATCCTATTTACAATCAACCTGCTGTTACAAAAAATCTATTCATTTACAAATTCTAAAAAATAGAAGTAACTTAACCTTACATAAAAGAAGAGGAAATAGATATAATTAATAATAAAAGTTCAAAATTCTATAAAATTAAGAATTCCATTATGCAGAGATATTAAGATCCTGCAATCGAATTATACTAATGACGGCTAAACCAGTGTCCATAAAAAGCCCTAAGTATAAAAGCATATAGACACGTATTTCAGATATCCGCACTAGCGACATTTATTTTACAGTCTAATGATTGCTCTAGCTTGCTACGAAACGGCGTTCGCGAACCTCTGACGCATGCATGTACCGATCTTAAGAGTTCAAACGAGATCTGTGTCCTGAGCCAAGTGATTACAACATGATAAGGCTCGGTGTCTTTCTGAGCTATCTTGTCTGCGAGATGCTTTAAGAACCGCTGACACTCGTTTCCCATTCCGCCATTGGTTCCAAACACTAAAGGCGTAAACGAACCCATTTCTACATCTAACACCCGCTGCTGGTACTTGCGCTTCTTCTCTTCTTCTTGCTCTTTGAACACTTCCGATGTTGGCTTGCTCTGGTAACACTTGGAGTTGACGTGCGTAACTCTAACATCAAAAAATGCCGTAACTCCTCTTGCCCAGAAACCTCCCGCTTTGATGTCCAACCTTGCGTCAGAACTTGTAACAGCGCTCCTCAAATGAAATCGCTCGTTGTCCAGGGGTTGAAGGCGTGGTTCGATTTCGACATTATTGCAGATCTTGTCGATGAATGTCGTTAACAAGTTCCGTACACCGTCATGTCTCTGCGCTACAAACCCCCCTTTTTACAAGAGAGTGGGCGTGACTAACGGTGAATTTATCCCCCATATGCAATGACTTGGTAAATCGACTAAGGGCAAGTCATAACGCAAGCGTAGCGAGTCTCTGAACTCTTGCTTGTTGAAGGCTAAACCTTTGTCTGCGAGAGGCATCGCATTCAGCCAAGAACTTGCGCCCTTGTCCCGCGATTGATTAGCCAGACGCAGTAGGCCTGGGGAGAGGCTTGAATCAATACTATCCATTTTCTCTTTGGCACTTGCTCTCTTAAGTGATTGCTGATGCCTCTTTAGCTCCTCCGTAGATCTTTCTCCTCGCACCATGATGGAACTCTGTGAAGTAATAGAATCGACGTGCGCGGTGGTTATTAGTCTCAAGGCAGCAAACTGCTGCGGTGCCTCGGATTTCAGATCAGGAATGCCTAGACCCCCTTGACCTGTTGCTAAGGTAGCAAGTCTGCGCACCTCGTTAGGGAGAGGCTCTGATTGACCGAACAAAGTTGGTAGTCGTAAATCTTCAATCACTTCCTGGATTGGATCGACATAAACTTCAAACGATTCAATCGTGCGCATGAAGTAGGTGAACTTCGACTTGTAGCCTTTTGTGAAAGTAATATACGCCGCATGGGGCTGGCTCTTCGCTATTTCAGAGAGACGTTCGATCTCCTCTTTCCATGCACGAACCTTCTCCTCACAATACTGATCTTTGTATTCTTGCGACGCAATAACTACTCCCAGATGGCGCCGACCTTCAGTCGTTATGTTGACTTCCTGTCCAAACACCCTCTTTGCTTCCTCCGCGACTTCCCTAGACTTCTCAATAAGCCAGCTCTTTGTCCCATTCACAAGATAACCAAACTTTTTTATTAATGATCTCAAGTGGAACGTTTATATAATATACAACTATCCCCCGGAGGGAAGGTGATCAGAATAGTCAGGTGGAATATACCAAGACGCGATGCGTCGAGGTATATATCTAACGCTATGAACCGACCCTGACGGGGATGGCTGTTTTACGATTTACCAAGTCAGTTGGATAAAAATCACTTAGTTCGAGTTTGTTTACGTTTCAATTTACAATGTTTCGGAGATCATTTGTTATGATTTTGTTCCAAATTCAGTGAGAAAATTCTTTTCTAGCGACCAGTAAACACCGACAAACCAGATTTTTTCTCTTTCTTGGTATTTGTTGGTGCAGCTGCCTCATTTAGCGCTAAAATTTCATCTTTCGAAACTGTCATGAACAAATGAAACAGTGAATATCCAAGAATATTCCTAGTTACGGGAGCCAATCAGAACGCGCGAAAATTGCTATCCACTGATTTGGTGAATACTAAATGAAACTATTGAGAAAGCAAATAAGCGTTTGTATTTTTTTGGTTCACCTTGAGCTATAAAGATATTGTTGACTTCCACTGTACAGTAATGAGACCCGTACTAGAATATTGCTCGCCCATTTTCCACCATAGCCTACCCGACTGTCTAAGTGAGCGTGTACAAAAAAGAGCGCTCTCCATAATATCGCTTGATAAATCATACAAACACTGTTTAGTCAGTTTTGGTCTCAGCACTTTATATGATAGGCGTAACGATCAGTGTATTAAGCTGTTTAATAGTGTATCCTCGGATCAGCACAAATTCGCTTCCCTACGTACTTTCTCCGAACCACCAAGGCTACTACAATACCAGACAGGAGAGAGTTTACGACATGCCCCACTTTCGCACAAACCGCTGCGAAAATTCGTTCAAACCAGCCATGTGAGGTCGTCCAAATTAATTGTAATGTAAGAGTAAGTGTTATTACGTTATTTTTCCTTTCTTTTTCAGTTCTTCAATATCATTATTCCTAATTAACAAAACTGAAATTAGTCTTTTACCATTATTTTATATTTTTTATTGTATTGTAATTAATTAAACAATTCAGCCTTCAGCCGGCTGCGATTTGATCATTTTATTATCTATGATCTATCTTTACTGGGAGAAGTAACGCTTTCAGTGGATTGATCAGATGTACCAAACTTCGATCAAGCTGGATTGAGTCACCGCAAGATTGGGGATAACATCCTCTTCGCTCTACATAATTCTTCACATACAGCCTACTCAGCCTCATTCAGTAATTGCTAAATAATTATGACAACGATCACGTTGTCGATCAAAGGCTTGACTTCAAACTGTTATTTGTACATTTCGAAATGTCACTTTTGGATTCTACTCAGGGACTCAAACACGTAAACTCGAGACAAAATAATACTGAATTAAATTAAATTCTTTACTGAAATATAATCACCTGTACAGTTAACTCCGTTCCCCGAATACCCTGGCTTGCAAGTACACTCGAAAGATCCTTTAGTGTTATTGCAGACTGCATTAGCGTTGGCGTCACAGTTGTGTTTTCCTGTTATACACTCATTTACGTCTGCAAATCAGATGCAAGACTAAATCATCAAAACTGATTTACTTAACCTTAGTTTTATTTTCTAGGATTGGGTACGATCAGAAGAGAGAGGGAGCCAGAGATATCTGGCTATACTGAAAAGCAAAAACATTTTTGCATTGAGCAGGTGAGAAATTCAGAAATGACATCAAGTCTATAGATAGAGGATTCGGGAGACCTAAGGAAGCAAGATATTAGAGAATACAGAATGACTTCCTCTCCAAAGAAAAATTGCCAACACAAGGAGGGATAAAAAGGACACGTTTCCGCTCATACCCTAAAGACTGAATTGTGTACATTGGTCTGATATAATTAAATGTAGTAAGCTCACCCAGCGTGAATGCGTGTTCGGACATGACAATCTTGCATGGGCACAATATAATAATACATAAAAAACTTCAATATCTCAAGGATGTATGAGGCTAAAATTGCATACAGATACTGGAAATCACAAACTTTTATAATGCAAGAGCATTTCCATACTTATTCAGCTTAAAAGAATAAACTGCACTACCAGAGACTAAGCTGCATACTACCTTGTGGCTGAACTTGGCTCTAATGCGAGATAAATGGAGTTGATTAGAAAAAGATTCATCAAAAAGAAGACCGAGGTATTGTTTTCACCTGTGCAGTTAACTCCATCCCCAGAATACCCTGGATTGCAGGTGCACTCAAAGGATCCTTTAGTGTTTGTGCAATTAGCGTTTGCATGACAGTTGTGCTTTCCTGCTTCACATTCATTTATATCTGCAAAAAAGAAGTCAGGCACTGAATGATTAAAACTGATTTCCTTTTTCTTTCACAGCTTAATAACACCGGATGGTATTAACGGTAAAGTACGCTAGTGAAAAGTAAAGTTTTGCTCCAGTTAAGAGTTTGGAAAGAAGAGGAAACTTTAATTAAAAGTATAGTTTTCCGAAGCGACTTCGCCTCGTTTATTAAAACACAGAAGCTCGAGTCAAATTAGCTCGAAAATGGCCCATTAGAATTACAATATACCTGACTTATTAATGGAATTTAATGCTCTGCGATCAGTACCAGTAAAAGGTATTATGGAAGTTAAAGAAGCTGTGTCACGAAATTCATCCAAATTAGGTAAATGCAAAATGCCCGTTAAATTAAGATAAACGTAAAAATAACCGCTTAAAACATTAAAGGAAGGTTAAAATAACATAACAGATACAACAGAGGCCACGGATGGGCAAAACTGAAGAAGATTGAAACGGATTGAAATTAGGGTTTTTGAAAACTGTTCAGCCTAACAGTTTTTTAAAGTTGATCTCTGCTGTTTGCAACTTCAAAAATAATGCTAAGGAGACATATTTGTTTGTCTCGAATCTCTGATTTTGTCATTTCCTTGTAATTTCCTTGCTTAATTTAAGTTCCATACCGATTGAGGGCGAGTAATTGGCAAAATTAAACAAAATTATCTGGACCACCGTGACACAGCCGCTTTAACGAGACTTAATTAAGGCGAATTTAGTGAAAAACCACTTTGGAACAGAGGGAATTGATTTGAAAGAGACGTGGCTACGAAATATCTGAGTGTTTCAATTAAGGGATTTGAAGTGTACTTCATGTACTTCATTTATTTTCTCCGTTTTGAGAATAAGCTTCCTTGCAATCACATCCGAAGGATCCTATAGTGTTATGGCACGCTGAACTAGTGACGTCACAGTTGTGTTTTCCTGTCATACACTCGTTTATGTCTGGAAATGAAGATTTAATGCTGAATTATCAAACTGAATTAGTTCTATTTCAGTTTTATATCTATTGAATGAGAGATAGCAATGCAATGCTTTCGAGACTGGTAGTCCACGAACGAATAAATCAGTTTTTAAAATAAGGCAATTGCAAGGAACACTAATTCAATTGATGGCACTGACAACAACAATAAAATGGCAGATAAAATCACTGACAAATGATTATTCAAAGCTTTAAATGTGGCAAGTTATGTTATTTACGACGAATGATCCCGCTAAGAATAAGAAATAACTATTTTGACGGCACGAAATACCAAAGAACCTGGGTGTTAGGCCAGGGGCTATAGCTAGTTCATATTACGTTCTTTCTTTTCCAATATTTTCTCCAGCTCCTCAATTTTTCAGTGATTCAATTCTGCACATATCCGTTTTTTTCTTTCTTTTCTTTGTTTATTTGTTTGTTTGTTTGTTTGTTTTTTTACATTGTTTTCTACTTGTGCCTCCATGAAAGAACCTCTTAAATATTCTTAATTAATCTATAATGCCTCCTAGCTAGATTAGCTTTTTAGCTAAACAACGCTTGTACCTTACATAAGTAGTATCGTCTTTTGCTAATGTCTTTTTTTCTGTGTGGTATAAATAAAGTTCTTGTCTTCTCTTGTCTTTTCCATACCGGGAATATAAAAGGCTACGTATAAATATCGCGTGTACGTCATCTCGGCTTCTGAAACAACCTTTGTTTGGTTTTCTTAATTTTTTTGTTTATTTTAGGGGCGGCCTATTTTAACTTGTAAAGTCCCGTAGAAACGTCTTTGAGCTTAAGCCTTGTTTCCTTTCTAGATTTCCCGCCCGCACTTTTTATCTTCGTGGATTTTTGGGCAGGTTTTCTTTTCTGGCCTATGTCTGACCGCATTTATTTCTGTTGGCAGCTCAGCTCTGCCAGTTTTTTGAATTTTATAATTTCTTCTTATTTATTTTTTTTTGTACGGTTAGCACCGTTTTTCACCTGTTCCTTATCTTATGTATTTAGTCTCAATATATGCTTAGAACAGCTGTCCAGGGACCGCTCTTAAGGTGGCCCGAACCTATTTATATGCGTGTTGGTTATGTTTTGAATCGTGTTTTTCGGCAGGAAAGATTTAACCGATTTCTATGATTTTTGGCATCCTTAATAAAGAATAGTCGAACTTTAAGAAACTGTTATTTATTTTCTTGTAGGTCTAGATAGCAGTGTAACGAACTTTGTAAGATCGCGCGCTTTAAATTCAACGGCGATTTTGAGATATCGGCATGCGTTTAAAACCGTATTTTTTCCAAAAAATGTCTATAACTTCGAAACCCTAAGACAGATTTTTCTCTAACTTCAGCGAATAGACCTCAGAGCTCTTTAGTTTTATATCTGCAATTTTGAAGTCAATCGTGACCATAGAACTTGCTGCACAGATACCTGGTTAAATTTAATCTTAAAATGCAAAGCTAACACATTTGTGCAAGTTGACGCACAAATAGAGGACTAGCTTTTCGTAGATACAATCTGTGACATAACACTGACCGAATATGAAAACAGATTTCTACCTTTCCATATGGCTGTATGATTTTTGACATGGAATCGAATAGCATATGACTTAAGATAAAATCCTGTTCGTTTCAGCTCCGTATTAACACTCATCTACAAATCAGCAAGTAAAAGTTAGTTATAAGAGTTTCCTTGACTTGAACGTTTTCTCCTGTAAGCACAAACAACTGATATCATGATCTCTTGATTAAAATTCATTGAGAGAACGTTGGTATCAATACTCCAAACAAAAAAAATATTGCATTTAAAGGCCTGTTATCGTATGGTGTTGCTGGTCTATGTGATTGCTATACAAGTCAAATTTGACCTTTGGTAATCTGCCCTTACCCCTTGCAGTAAACGTCCCAAGAATTCTTCACATACCACCCCAAACTGTTTTCCCCACCTCTCACACACCCCTCACAGCTTATTAGTAGGGCCGACCTCCATCCTCCCTTGATACATACAACCAATCAACATCTCTTTTTGAATGGAAAGCGTTATTCATTGTCAACACCTTTCTAGTCATTTTATCCAATGTTTTCAGTTCTTCGTTTGCCTATCTTACCTGCTCCATACTTGATCAGCACTGACAGTGCGCAGGTGTTAATCGCTATAACCTTATTCTTTCAATTCAATGTTGATTTCAACATTTTAGTTTCAGCCTTCTTTTTTACTCTCTTGAATTTTTTTTCATCTCCTTTTCGTTTATCAAATCCGCCTCAATAATCCCCAGATATTTATACCTTCTTTCACCGATTTCTCCCATTATCCGCCCATACAAAAGAGTTTTACCCTCAAACCTTACTTTCTTTTCCCTTGTCATTACCAACACAGTAGTGATAGAGGGATGAAATTAAGCCTTGTTGGTGTCGAGTAAGTGTCGAGTAAGGTTGAGGTAAATCATTGATATGCATTAGGGTCGAGTACATGACGTCACCCACTGTTTTAACCTAGCAAAAAAGTGGGTTCCTTCATACTGATAAGTGTCTTCCTCCAAATCTAATGAGCATCTCTCTTATACAATAGGAACAATAGGCTTGCCTAGAATTGCCCGGTCTCTTTTAACCCTGATGATTAGCTCATGCAGAAATTATTGTGTTCAAAATGTATTCTATCTCGAGGAGACGACTAACTCTCAGTGCTTGGTGAGCTTATGGCCTTTTGGTTTTCACGCGCCGTTAGTCAGTTAATTATGCGAGTTAACAAGCCGACATTTGCGTACAAATTGGCTCAGCTCTACAGTAAAAACTCCAAGAGAGAACCTTGACATATTATTATAAAAACAACAACGAAAAAAAAAAACAGTTAATAACTTAGCAATAGAAGTGTGGTAGTGGTGGTCGTGGTGGTGTAGGAGGAGGAAAGCAATAGAAATGTGGTTTCATGGCTTGCCAAACCTATATAAAAGCGCAACATTCTAGCTTTTTCTCAGTCTACATTCTGCTCCTGAGGAGTTGACATGAGTTGGTTCTGTTCCGTTTGCGAAAAATTCGCTTAGTAGAAAGGATAGCATTCAAAGGTACGCGATGTATAAACACCGCAATGCTGGTCTCGCCCCATTTCAAACAGTTCCGATGTCTTCAAATAAATGTCAGCGGTTTCGCTTTAAACATCCTTTCACCTCCATGACTGCTGGAATGACCAAGTCCGGAAAAGCAGCCTGAGTTCTATCTCTATTACATCAAGCTTAAGAGGCAATTTACCTTCCCCCAGAGAGAATCGTTTGGTGTTATTCACAATGGCAGCCTGCGTATACAGAAATGCTAGTCGCCATGTCACACGTTGAATTTATCAAGGGAATTCCTACGACTTTGGAGGAGGATTCCTATTTTGATGTGAACAAACAGAATCTGATCGTGTTTGATGATCAGATGATTGACGCCAGTAAAGACAAGCGAATTGTGAACCTCTTTACTCGTGGTTCTCATCATCGAAATCTCAGCGAGATTTATATCGTGCAGAACCTATTTCATCTGGGGAAGGGAAGTCGCAGCATAAGCCTAAACGGTCATTATTTGCTGCTATTCAAGAATCCACGAGACAAATTGCAAAACTTGACTCTGGCCAGGCAAATGCATCCTGGGCAAACGTATTTCTTTTTAAATCAGTACGAAGAGGCCCTAAAAAGACCTTTTGGTTATCTGCTGATTGATCTAAAAACTACTAACCAAGATAACTGCCCACTGCGAAAAAACCTCCTGCCCAGTGAAGAGGGCTTTAACCAAGAAGGGTATCAAGAGAATATTCCTCAAGAGCTTCATGAAACTCTACGATCTATATAATGTTTGTTTCAGTTATTATAATTTAAATCAGAAAAGTAAGTGTGGCTCACTATCTAACAAACTAATCAATATACCGGTAAGCCAGTAAGTTTGGTTCATTATTCATACTGTTATATTATGTATTTAGTAAATTCCCTGAGGCTGCAAAAAGTTACAAAATAAGTTACATTATTGGTTTTCATGAAGTCAATTTGTGCTTGTCAATTTCGTAAATTCTCTAAGGCTGTAAACAGTTACA